GTCCTCCACAACTGGACTGGGGAACAAAAACGACAGCAACTTGTCTGTTCCCCTTCCTCCCAATTCCCCAGCACTGTTCCCATCCCCCCCAATTCCCCAATAAAAATCTTAAAAAAAAAAAAAAGATGTCAGGGTGATCTAGAGTATGGACCATTTTACCTGTGTCAGAGATTACAAAATTACCATGAAAAGTGAAACCATTCCATCACCAACAGGGGTAACTAAAACCTCCCTTGATTCAGATTTATCGAGTATCTATTTTCTGTCAGATCCAAATATTCATAGCAAAAGCATTCAGCTTTTTTCCAGCCACAGTCTACATGAATTTTATTCTTTCACAAAACCTTCATTAAAAAAAAAAGTTGGTTAAATGGACAATTAACCTACATCTTTAGGATTTTCATTAAAGGCTGAAATAACACACTAATGGATTCTACACTGTTAAGTAGTTGTAACAGGTGGGTAGGTCCCTGCTCTGGGTATTCAGAAGAATTATCACTGGGGAAATAATGAGGAGCAGCTTTTCCAGACGGAACTCAAGGAATTTCTGAAAAAAAAGTGGACATTATTTAAAGAAATCCATTGTTAATCTTATTGAAATTTAACCAAACTACAAATGTACTGAAGGGGGGAACAATGTAATTTATTCAATAAACATTTATTTTAGGCCTAGTGTATGCTATACATGGAGAGTAAAATAAAGAACAAAACAAGGCCCCTGTCTTAGAGAGTTTAAACTCCAGAAGAAGGTGGTAATGAAAAGCCATCATGGGAGATCCAGCCAAGATGGCGGAGTAGGTAAACACTGTGCTTACCACCTCTCAAGACCATATCAAAATTACAACTAAACTACAGAATAGCCATTATTGAGAACTGCCTACAGTCTTGCTGAACTGAAGCCCTACAATGAAGGACGTACAGAAGAAGCCACCTCAAGACTGGTAGGAGGGGCAGAGATGTGGAACGGGCTGGTCTCACACCCACATGTGACCATTAAAAATCGAGTAAGATAACAGAGGTCCCCACCACTTGAAGCAAGGGGTCCCAGTCCAACACCATGCTTCCCAACCCAGGGTGTCAATGGCAGGGGAAAAAGTCCCCATAATTTTTAGCT